CACAAAAAACAACAAATTTCCCAAAAAAAAAATTTTATTTGAAAATGATGAACATGAATGACCGATTATGATTGATCCGAAGTTTTGACTAAGTTTAGACGTTTTGACGCCTATTTAAACCCGCCGAAACCTGTCGAAATGTTTAGACTTTCGACGGTTTTGGTTTCGACTTTCGACATTAGCCTATTATGGTTTCGTCCCGCAACTATATGAACTACCAAAGGAGTAAGTATTTTCATGTGAAGATTTCTCATTAAAATTCTGGCCAGAAGGTACTGAATGAAGAAGGGAATCCTTATTATTAGATATATAAACAGATTCTAATATTCTACACCATTCCTCAGTCAGTTCAGAAGGTCTTTGATTATCAATGATTTTTTGATATGTTGTTAATCCTATACAATGTTTTTTATACATAATATGCTGAGCATCTGGAATATTATTCTGAGCATTTTTAATTTCTTTGATAGCTTTTGATGACAAACGTCAGGCATCTGATCTAAGAAATTTACGAGTATGAGTTGTTTGTTTTTTGCTCATACCAAATTTATACATTTCTAATATATTACCAATAAAAAACCAATAAAAAATTAATAAAAAATTGATTTTATACTAATATAAATAACGCTCTCCATCATGCAAGTCTGCTATAACTCTGATCCAAATAGAAATAAGTATAAAGCATATATAGTCTAGGTAATTTATTGATTTTAGACTGGTTAATTATTGGTATAATTTCGATTACTACCCTTTTTTTATGCCTAAAACTAGAAAAAAAAATCCTATTTTATTTGAAACTTTTTAGCTAAAAAGAAGGAAGTTTAGCATATAAGTCATATATGCTTTCGATCTCTTTATCCCAATCAAAATTCTCTGGAAGTTGTTGAATGCGATTAGGCTGATCAGTTGTATGTCTATGCCAAATTTCATAAACTTGTTTCGTTGCAATATGATGCTTTTTAGCAATTACTGTTACAGCATTTTTAACCTTATCACAGGAATTAATAATTTCCTTCAATAATTCAGGAGATAAATATGTAGCCCCTATTTGATAATGTCTCTTTGATATGTATTCCATTTATTAAACTTTTTTAATATAAATCTTTTAATCAATTATATAATTCTATTTTTTTTTTTCGATTGCAAGTATATACGAAAGGTAGATCATGGCCAATATGCATACTATAAAAGATCTTAGTTTAGGCTATTATCTTAGTAGTGCCTGTGAAATAGAGCTTGAGGAGGCATTACGCATTAGTAGTAAATCTGTTTCTAAGTTTACTAATAAATACAATGACTTGCTAGGGGTGTATTCAAATTTTGAGAAAAGATCTAATAGAGAGAAAGTCAAATTGAATCGTAATTTAAAACAGGCTGACACTAATATTGGGAAGCTCTCTAAACGTATACATAATCTTACAAATGAGATAATGCAATTGCATTCAAAGAAAGATTCTCTAATTTCTTAGGTTATTCACAAATATACCTCTCTTATGGAATCTAAGGACAAAGTCGCTACAAAATAAAAGATAAAACTTCTCCAATCCAAGTTGAAAATGTTAAAGAAGAATTATTCCTCAGCTTAAATGAATTTATCTGTAATGGATTCTCTCAGATTTGAATTGGAACAAGCAAGAGGTGATTTGTCTTCAAAAAAATATGAATTGGAATGTATAGAAAAAAGGAAAGAGTCATCAGATAGTATATACAAATGGGCGTTATACTTCTTGTCTTCAGCACGATCAAATTTAATGGAAGAAAATTCTCACCTTTGAGAGATAATCTCAAAAAAAGAAAATGAAATAACAGATCTCTCTAATCTCTCACCTATAAACGATTCATCACAAAAGCTATCAAGTTGGATCAGTGACGATTTAAACCCCTCGTCTATGAGTGTGGTCTTAAAAATAAAGTTATAGAACTCAATAAAAGTTTTATCAGAGAAAATATATTAGAGGCTTTGCAAGAGCTATTATCCAAGAATAAGATAATTTTGAGTAGGGTTCCTCAAAATCAAATCGAATCAAATATTTAAGCAATTTGAATTTGATTTGATTTTTTCAAATCAAATCAAA